TTTTAAAGGTGAAACTGATGGAGTTCAAGAAAGGGAAGGGGGATGAAGTAGGGTTCAGAGAGGAAAAAAGGAGGTACAAGAAGCTGTGTGATGATAAGAGGAAGGCGGAAACGGTGAAGTGGGAAGAGGAGATAAAGGCAATAAGGACGGAGGGGCAGGTTTGGAAGGTAGTAAATAAGGGAAGAAAAAGAAGGAAGGGCGTGAACGAGAACATCAGGATGAATGAATGGGATATATATTTCAGAGGTGTGATGGGAGGGTCGGAGGAGAGAGTGAGGGGAGGGGAGTTAATAGAAAGAGAGGTGGTGCAGGGACTGAAGGATAGGAAGGCGGTGGGGGAGGACAAAATTCCAAATGAAGTATGGAAGTACGGAGGACAGTATATCGAGAGGGCATTATGGGATATGTGTAGGTGAGTGTGGAGAGGAGAGGGGTGGCCGAAAGGGTGGAAGGAAGGCGTAGTAGTTCCTATAGTGAAGAAGGGGGAGGGAAAAAAGGTGGAGGAGTATAGGGGGGTCACACTGACGCAGACAGCGTACAAAGTATACGTAGGGGTGCTGGAAAGGAGACTGAGGAGGGAGGTGGAAAGAAAAAGGTTGCTGCCACCGAGTCAAGCAGGCTTTAGGAAAGGAATGGCGACTGTGGACAACATCTATGTGCTAAATTACCTGATTAACCAAGAGGTAGGTAAAAAGAAAGGAAAGCTAATGCTGCTTTTTGTAGACTTCAGAACGGCTTTTGTCTCGGTAGACAGGGGGAAATTGTTGGAGAGTATGAGGGAAAGAGGGGTAAGGGAAGGGCTAGTGAGAAGATGCGAGGTAGTGATAGAGGAAACACGTAACAGAGTCAAAGTAGGTAGGGAGGTAGGAGAGAAGTTCTGGACAGAGAAGGGGGTAAGGTAGGGATGCCCGCTCAGCCCCCTCCTGTTTGTCCTTTTCCTGGCGAACCTAGACGAAGAACTAGAGAGGGGCAGATGGGGGGGAGTAGAGCTGGGGGGGGGAAGAAACTGTTCTCACTAGCGTATGCGGACGATGTGGTGTTAATGGCGAGAGAGGAAGATGAGATGAGAGGCATGATGAGGACGCTGGAGAGATATGTGGAAGGGAAAGGGTTAGAGGTAAACATAAGGAAAACAAAGGTGATGAGATGTAGGAAAGGAGGTGGGAGATTTAAAAAGGTGAGCTGGAGATGGATGGGAGAGGAAGTGGAAGAGGGTAAAAAGTATACGTATCTGGGGTATGTAGTTAAGAGGAATGGAGATCAGGAGGAACATGTCAGAGAGAGAGTGAAGAAGGGAGCGAAAGTGCTAGGATAGGTATGGGCAATTGGAAAAAGGAAGTTCGGAGACGACTGGGGAAGAAGGGTATGGCTGTTTTACAAGTTGGTTTGGTCGGTTGTAAGTTATGGGTTAGAAATCTGGGGATGGAGGAAAAGAGAGGCGGTTGAAAGACTGCAGGAAAGGTACTTAAGATGGGTGTTAGGGGTAACAAGAAAAGTGCCAGGGTATATGGTAAGGGAGGAGGTAGGAAGGGAGGAGATGGAAGCAAGGGCGGGAATGAGGGCTTGGGGGTATGAAAAGAGAATAGACGAAGGAAGAGAGGGGGGGGGAGCTAGCGAGAAGATGCAGAATGGAAATGAAGAAGAGGGTGAGAGCTGGAAAAGAGGTAGAGAGAGGGGAAGGGGAGAGAAGAGAGTTTTACGAAATTAGAGGCTGAAAGGTAGAGAAGGTAGAAGAGATGTGGGAGTCAGGAAACATGAGAGGAGAGGAGATAACGAACATAGAAAGAAGGAAACAGAGGGAGGAAAGATGGGCCAGGATAATAGAATCAAAGGGGAACAAGGAATATAAATTCGTTAAGGGGAAGGGGGTGCCCGAATACCTAAAGAGGGGCTGGAAGGAGGAGAGGTGGAGCAGAGTGGCGAGGTTTAGGCTAAGGGATGAGATGAAAGGAGGAATGTACTGGGAGAAGGAAGAAAAAAACAGGTGTAGAATATGTGGGTATGGAGAAGAGACGTGGGAACATGTACGGGAGGTATGCTCGGGTTTGGGGATAGACAGAGAACGGCAAGAGATGAGAGAGGAAGTGTTGGGGGAGAAAGGACAGGGGGAAAGCTGGCTAGTGGAAATAGAAAGGATAAGGAAAGAATGGGGGGAGAGAGGGAAGGAGAATTAGGGGGGGATTAGGAAAAGAGCACCGGAAACGGAGGTCGGTCGGGTGAGAGGTGGAGAGAGTGTTGCGAGGGCGTGAGTGAGTGAGAGATAGGAGAGAATGAGCCAAAAGAGTTTTTTCTTTGAAATTTCTTTTTCTCTTTTGGCGAGCGAGGCACGAGGTGTGTGCGAGAGAGCGAGGTTGTAAATAGGTAATATGGTATATGGTAATATGTAAATAGGTTAATTTGTACAGCAGTTTTAAGTTTTTGGTGTAAGTGGAGCGGGAGTCCGTGCTGTACCCCGCAAGGGAATAAATGGCATACATATTATATATATATATCAAAATTAAACATTTTCGCTAATAAATATTTCAATAAATAAAATATTTGATTTAAAAACATAACAATTTCTAATAATGTTTATATTTAATATTTAAATTTCATACCATTCATGATATGATAATACGATAATATTATAATATTATAATATGATAATATGATAATCGACAAAACAGGATTTAAAAATCTTGTTTGTGATTTCTTATTTTTATTTTGTTGAAGACAGTCAAAAATTTTTTTGAGGGACAGGTTATGACTTGTTACCACCGGTTTTCCGTTTATTTTGTGTCCTAGCAGCTCAGTTACACCAGTTTCACCAGAGGTACCATAAATTTGCTTGAGACTGTTAACGGTTATCGAAGCTTTTGCCATTTTTTTGAGAAGATCCTTACTTAGCACCCCTTTTAATTGGTCAAAAGTCGGAAGAACATTTCTTATGCGATTATCATCGTCCCATTTTTGAGACTGCTCACAATAATCTTTTGCACTTTTTGTGAGAATTTGTTTTGATATTTTAATTTTTTAAAGAATTTTACCCAAGATCTGTACATCGTGTATAGCGTTATGAACGCCAGCGCTCGGGATGTTCAACCACTCTGCCAAACCTGTGATTGTACATGCACCTTTGCCCTTTCTACCGGTATGTTTTCTTATTATGGATAACGTGTCAATGAAACCGTGAAAAACTTCCGATAAATCTTTCTGTAAAGAGCATGACGTGATTGCGCTGTAGATCCTGGGGCCGTCAAAGCAGAGGTTATGCGTCGCTATATAACATTTTCTTCCAAATGACGTCAACCAATGAATAAAATCTCCTAGGGCAACTCGGAGAGGAACAGATGAGACTTGTACTCCATGGTACATAAGATCTCCAAAATGATTTGTAAGGCCATTGGCGCCAGTAGCAGATATCGATATTTGTTGAATTGGGTTCACGTATGTTGCAAACGTTTTGGAACCACATGTCGCAGTAATTTGCAAAATATCACAGTCTTGTCCAAGGCCCGAAGTTTCCAGATCGATTAGAATAACGGGAGACATTTCATCACTATCTTCTTCCTCAATGCCAGAATTCTCAGGTTCTGGATCATTTTCCACTGCACGTGCACTGAGAAGGGTACAGTTACTTTCGTAAGTTACGCCTTCGCGATTTGCGATCTTATGCCTTAAGGCAGCTCTGCTTTCTTTCAGAGCAAGAGGTTGTTTTTTAAATGCTTGACTTCGAATCAATTACCGCCGACACGTAACTTTCCGATCAATCTTGGAAATGTGCCGCGACTGAAACTTTCCAGGAGACAGGCCAAGAAATGTGGCCACTTTTTGAGTGTAGCTCTCTCCTATGTTCTTCTGGTCAACAGCACAAGCGAACCGAAAGTCGGCTGACTCCGACAAACTGTAACAACGTGATTTTGGGGCCTTGCTTGTCATGATAGCATTGAGGCTTTCATTCACGTTACTCGAGGCACATGCTGAAATTTTTGTGCGTTTGAAGCTAATTTGTCGAAGATCTCCCTCAAACTTACAAATAGTTGGGGATCACGAAAACCTCCGGGAATTATTCGATGATCGTAATTTTCTTTGTCCTTGACATATCCACACCAAGAACCCCATTTGCTGTGGTCATTGAATGCATGATACGGGATACATCGAATAGCATCCGCTGAAGCGGCACTATTTCCTTTGTTTTGAGCCAAAGCGTATGAAAAGCATCGGCGAAGATATAGTATACCATCCTTTTTCAGCTCTCGGTAACTGTTTTCGATTTTATAAAGCTCTTTCTTGACACCTCCAGATGCATGATTTATATCCGAGTGCTTTACAATTGTATGGAAGCTGGACGCACGACAAGCTGCGGTGGTTGATCTATCGTCATCACCAATAAGGACTCCGACTTCAAGGTATTTTGATTGGAGGACTGTACTCGACGTTACAATATTTTTTGCGACGTCGGGCTCCATTGCTTTTGCAGTTCCCCAAAAATTTAGTCGACAATCGTGATTAGCTGGATTGTTTCCATTGTCGCATTTTTTACATTTTCTGTTGCGAGTTGAATTATCCAGAATGAGCCCAGACATGCTGCCGATAATTGCCCCGAATCCATTCAAACTATCGTAGTTCCTTCTAGTGCCTCTAGTACTCCAGCCCATGTTGTACGAAGCCATAATGCGTACAACATTATCGAATGTTACCGACGTTTCTTCACCTTCAGAGCTATCTTCATAACATTCACTTTCCTTCATTGGTGGTATTACGAAACCGGAGCGAAGATTGTCTGGCCTACGTGAAGAAATAACAATAAGGAAAAAATAAGGATAAGGATAAAGGATGTCTAAAAAAATGAATAAAGCGCTTGAAGAGAATATTATTCATTGATATAGTTTTGCATTAAATATTTTACATTCATTTTCTTTCTTTTGCTTTCTCATAGAGGAAGCTTTGTTTTCATGAAAAAAAAAATTTCTGATAATTTTATGTCAGCGATCTTCTCTGAAACACATTGAGCAATTTATAATTACAATAACTGTTCAATGTTTTCTGCATTCTCCACAGTCAGCTGCCGCTCCAAATGTGCTGCGTTCTGGCAACTCCCCTTCACAATACTTTCTGTGGCTTGTCCAACTTCTTGCTCATATCTCTTGAATGTCTTGAAGTCAATAGTTGGAATATTGAGGCAGGATAGTAGTTTATTGAGATGTGTATGGCCCAATCCACCATGCAGAACACCTTGAAACGCAATGAAAGAGTCGATTATAATTTATGATTGAATTGAAAAGAATTCAATGGATGTTACTGAAGCATTGACAAGTACATAGAATATTTTACACACCTCCATTAGGTCAGGTATTTTGCACACACACATATTTTACTTATATTTCGAAAATATCGAAAATATGTATGTAATGCATACAATTTTTTGCAGGAATATCTATAATATATAAATAATAAAAAAAGAAGAACTCACCGATTCCTGCTTTAGTATTGACGTCAAAGCGAGATAAGCGTCGTTTTCCCCAGTTGTGATGCTTGCCTGTAGTCACCGAATTTATGAGTAAACATTTGTGACATCTCACCAGCAGTATCGAGCCTAACCCTCTGCGTGTTTCTTTTTCTATATACTGCAAAGAAAGCACTTCCTTACACGACACACACCACAATTGTTCAGCGAGAACGGATAATTCGACAACACGTCGTCCCTCCGTGAACTCCGATTGAGTAGCATCATTTTGATCCTCTTGTGACTCAAATTTCGAGTTTGCATCGATTTCACTTGTGGCTTTTTTCGTTTCATTTACATTTTCACAATTCTTGCTTCGAGCTAATCGCTGTTTATAAACCGCGTCCGTTACTAATCGGCCTTTCCACCGTTTTATTTTTTCTATTGCCATTTCGTTCGTTAGCAGTGATTGCGTCTATCTAACCTCTCAATATACTTGAACGTTACGTTCGAGCATGGCGTTCGATCGTCTTATCATTCACCTACGGATACTAAATCGCTTGGAATACAGTGAGAGAGAGAGAGAGAGAGAGAGAGAGTGCGATGCGGACAAGGATGTGCGAGAGAGCAGCTCGAACACGCTTTCTCGCCGCGTCGCATTGGTACCAATATAAAATAATGAATCAGTGCAATACCAGGCAATACACTGTTGTCGCGATTGATATACGATTTTTAACATATTATTTTGACTTGTAAAAAGTCCTACAAGTGAAAATATCACATCAATGATGATTAATTATATATCTTCTATGTATATCTTATATATGTCTATGAGACATATTTCATGTATACCAGGCATCAAATGATGATTGAGATTGCATGTCTCATGTGAACAACGAATTTTTTTTACAGTTCGATTTAGGTCGAATTCATGTCCAAAAGTTTTCTGTCGACCATCACAAAATGAGCAAAATCCACTAATATATTAGTTTATAGAGTCAAAAACATGTTTATTACCATTATTGTAGCCTTTCACAACATACCAGTGCGTATGGTTCATATTTTACCTCCGTAAAACCGAGAATTTCATCTATTTCAGATTTCAGTAACTTTTGTCTGGTACTGTATAACCAGAACATCCTTAATGCCAATCTCTCATGGACCAGTCACGTATTGTCCATCTCTCAGAAGGTTCATTTTTCTCTTCATAAGCTGAAATATCATAAGCACTCTCTATCACAGCAATTAAGAGTCAAGCTAACGACCACCTTAATTTTTCCTCACATTGATTACTGCTGCCTAGTGTACAACGATGTAACTGGTGAGCTGAATACGAAACTTCAGCGTCTTATAAACTGCGCTATTCGCTTTATTTTTTATCTGCGTCTCGATGTACTGTGACGTGATTTTTCGAATCACGGTCCCAAGGCGGCTCCGGTTACCGATATAGATAACGTTCTCGATTTCTGGTTCTCTTCGGGTCGTACCCTGCTCAGAAGCTACGCTCTCGGGTTGATTCGTACAGTTATGTCAAGGCTCCCGTAAGATTGTGTCAGAGTTTTGTTGAGGTCGAGGTGCTCGAATCTGCCGTGGGGATATAGTCTCGACGTACCGAGTTGCCCGGCAGAGGAGAGTACCCGACGGAGACGTCTCCACGGACCGGCAGAAGCCCGGGTGA